GTTTTTTTACCCCCGAGCCACACTCGGGAATACCAATGGAAACGCGCGGAAAAACGCCCCAAAGAAGCTCCTGTACTTGTTTGGGCGTAGGGCGTTTTTCAGCGCGTTTCCACGAGCTGAAATACGCCCAGGTGGGAACCATGTCCCTAAGGAAGTATTGGATTTCACTGTTTGAGCGTTTTTCAGCGCTGAAAAACGCCCAGGTGTGAACCCGGCCTTATTCTCATCTTATTCTTGATATGATTTATTCATTTTTATAATATAAATGAGCAAATATGCAGATTTGTCACATGAAAAAAAAACTAAGTACACCCCTTCATTTACCACCACAATAAATGCATAAATTGGCACCTAATATGGACCACTTTATTCACAATCGTAAGAACCTCCTTGGGGGGGTATGTAGGTGAAACCTGTTGTGTTTAAACTTCAGATTTCTAAGGTCTCGTGTGTGGTGTTGTCATGCCAAGGTCAAAAAAAAGCTCACTAAGGTTGTAGAACCCTTCGAGTCTGACAATGGGTTTATTAACAATTGGCAAATTATTTGAAATCAGCCATTCCACTGTAATGAAAATAATCTGCAAGTGGCGTAGATTTCAAGGGACTGCTAATTTGACCAGCAAATTCTTATCAAAAGCTGATTGGTACTTAACCTCCTGCCGTCCGCCCGTTAAGAAAAACGGCAGACTCCCATTTCTCCTGACGGCATTTTTTTCCTGCTCGCACGCACCCCCTAGCGCGCACGCACGGGCAGGAAAAACCTGCCCGTTCTTTACAGAACCCCTACTGACCCCTCACCTTCAATCCCGGGATCCGCTAGCCCATCTGTGGTCGGGGAGGGCGTCAGGAGTTAAGATGGGAGGGAGATCAGCATCTTCCTCCTTGCTGATCTCCCTCCGAGGTCTGAATGCAGAAGTGATGTGTATGACATCACTTCCACATTCACCTGTCAGTCATCTGGCTGCTTATAGCCAGAGAAAAGAAGCTGATGAAGCAGATCTCTGCTTCATCAGCTTCTTTTGCGGTCCCCAGGTGACATTAGGGGTCTGTAAGAGGTCTCCATAAAGAGGACCTGTCAGTGTGCCTTTGCTATTATATAGGAGGATTGTTATCCCCCTATGTAATGGTAATAAGTATTTTAAAAAAATATAATTTTTATTTATTTTTTTTTAAACCCAGAATTATTGGGTCCGCCACCACCACGTTTACGCACATATAAACGTAAATATGTGTCAGCGTGCGAAAACGACAATTGCGCTACACATGTTAACTATCGCCGCAAAAGTCACAGTGAGAGCAATGATTTTAGGGCCATCAATCACTGATAACACTAAGCTGATGAGCGGTAAAAGCTTTTAAAGCGTTGCCTATTGCATATTGTGGATTATTGTAGCTTTTTGATGTTTCACGCGCGTGCAATTTTAAGGCTTGACATGTATGGTGTCTTTTTACCCGATCTGACCCCCCCTTTTATATTTTACCAAAAAAATTGGGTAATAATAAATGTTTTATAATTTATTATAGGGGAAACAGGTTTGTTTTGTTTTTTTCCTGTAATTTTTCCTTAATATAGTAAAAAATAAAACCCCCAGAGGTGATTAAATACCACCAAAAGAAAGCTCTATCTGTCCCCAAGAAAATGGTATATGCTATGGCGCTGAATACTGACAAATGGCCGGGATGGGAAAGGGGTGTAGACACCACAGACTTCAAGTGGTTAAAGAAATCTTCAAATTTACTTGAATGATATGCAGGTAGCACTTGCAACAGTTGGGGCCAAACTGCATGCAATTACAATCAGGAAAAGGTTGCACCAATTTAACCTGCATGGTAAGTGTCAGGAAAAAGCCTTTGCTGTCCAAAAGAACATAAAAGCAAGACCTTCTGGAACAATGTATTGTGGACTCATGACACAATGACACAATGATAGGGTTATTTGACCACAGTACCTGTTTGGTGCAAACCGAACACAACATTTTAGGAGAAGAACCTCATACCAACTGTAAAATGTGGTGGTGGAAATATAAAGGCCAGAGAGTAACCGCTCTCCGCAGGTATCAAACAGCAAGTCCCGTGTTTATTGATCCAGTCAATTGTACATCACAAAACAAGCTCCCCAGACCAACGGATACCTCTCACGCGTTTCATCGATGTGGCTTACTCATGGGCCTCTATGAGGTATTATTCTCTGGCCCTTATATATATACTTGGCGAGCGCACACCTTGTAGCCTGCACCTGCGTGTTTAATACAGCATGAAGCCCGGCTTGTGAATTGGAACGGTGAGGACTTGGATGCTATGTGGTGGTCCAGGGTTGCTTTGCTGCTCCATAGTGTGGGCAGCTTGCAGTTGTTGAGTCTGCTATGAATTTTGCATTATACCAAAGTGTGCTTGATAGAAAAGTGAGGACATCTGTCTAAAGGTTTAAGTTAAACTGGGAATGGATCTTTCAGCATGATAATGACCTGAAGCACGTTAGCAAATCCATCATAGAATGTCTCAAAAAAAGAAATGGAGAGTTATGTGCCCACCTAGTCAAAGCCCAAATGTAAATCCCATTGAAATACAGTGAAGGGATTTGAAGCTGGGAGTTCATGCACGTAAACCCACAAACCTCTTGCAACTGAAGACATATTTCATGGAGAAGTGGTCAACTGCAAAATGCCTACAAGTCATTGCTGCTAAAAGGGGCAATACCAGCTTTGATGCCAAGGGTTTACTTACTTTTTCCACAGTACACTATTGGACCTGTTCATATTTTTGTAAATGATCCAAAAAAAAAATGTGTGTGTCTTGATGCAATGATATCACCTTTCTCGCTCTCTAGCCAATGTTTGAATGAAGATCTAATGTTTCCCTGTTCAAAGCTTTCAAAAAAGAATTTCCATGGGGTGTGCTTACTTTTTCACATGATTGTAGGTGTGACGGTCAGGTGTTTATCTGGTGTATCAGCTAAAACGCTCCATTTACAAAACACCGGAATAAGGATCGTTGCTTTACCAAAAGAGACAGTAATGTGTAGCTGAATCCCATGTGATTCGATTATTAGTCCTATAGCTGGAAATGAAGATCCTTGTGTAAAGCTTTTTTGAGCCTTCTA